TGTGCTCAATTCCTGCCCTATATTTAGCTTGGAGCCCACGCTCCAACATTTCAAGCGCCCTCCTGCTAGGACCCACTTTCAAATGTGTTCCACCTCAACCCACAGCGAGAAATATAATTTGCACATGACCTAGGGCTCGTCTACATATGTATTTACACACACACACACACACACACACACACACACACACACGTACGTGCATAAGTCTCTCCCAGCTTTAACTCAATCACAGTTGTTTAAAAATCTGTCCCCGGACATCAGTTCTTATAACTTTAGCCCTGTGTTTCTCCTCCCCTTTACCAAGTTGTTGCAAGAGTCATCCGTATAAACTGTGTTGTTCCCTATGGCTGCTATAACAAATCGTCACACACTTGGTGGCTGAAAACAGCACAGATGTATTTTCTTACAGTTCTGGAAATCGGAGGTCTAAAATCAAGGTGTGAACAGTGCTGCGTTCTTCTGGAGGCTTCAGGGCACGGTCTGTTTTCTTGCCTTTTCCAGTTTCTACAAACCACCTATATTCTTCGGCTCATGACTCTATCGCTTCAAAATCTGGTTCCATTGCCACATCTTTTATCCACTTTGGCCGTCTTATAAGGACCTTGGCGATTCTATTGGGCCTCTCAGGTCCTGTAGGATCACCTCCCTATCTCCAGATTTCTAAGTTAATCACAACCTCAAAGTCCCTTTTCCACTGTAAGGTAACATGTTCACAGGCTCCCAGGAGGGGGCCTGTGAACATCATTGGGAGGCCACTATGCTTCCTACCACATGAACCATCTTGGATTTCCTCAACTTTCCTCAACTCTCTGCTCAGTGGCTTCTGTCCCCACCCACCATCCCAAATGCCTCTCAAGAAGGTCCGTGATGTCCTCTTTGTTGCTGAAAACACTAGATACTTGTAACTTGTCCTTCTTCCTGACCTCTTCTGACACAGTGGGCCAGTCAGAAGGAGGTGTGGGATGCAAATGTGGAGGGATCCTGACCCCAAGGTTTGAGGGCCAGTGGTCTGTCCTCAGGGGCATCTCCTGCCGTCACTCTTGAGTAGCATCTGGTGTGGTTGTGGTTGGCTGTAGAACATGGTATCTCTCGGGGCGCCTGGGTGGCGCAGTCGGTTAAGCGTCCGACTTCAGCCAGGTCACGATCTCGCGGTCCGTGAGTTCGAGCCCCGCGTCAGGCTCTGGGCTGATGGCTTGGAGCCTGGAGCCTGGAGCCTGTTTCCGATTCTGTGTCTCCCTCTCTCTCTGCCCCTCCCCCGTTCATGCTCTGTCTCTCTCTGTCCCAAAAATAAATAAAAAACATTGAAAAAAAAAAATTTAAAAAAAAAAAAAAAAAAAAAAAAAAGAACATGGTATCTCTCCACTGCCCTTGTTCTATTGATCCTCCGGAGGCTCCATGGAGTCTAGATGTCCTTCATTTACTTAAAAGCATTGGTCAGAGAAAGGTTTTTTTAAGCAGTTTTATTTACCTACCTACAAAAAAATGCACCTATCCCTAGTGCATAGCTGGGTGACCTTTCACAAAGTAAAACATGTATCCACCTTTCAGATCCAGAAAAGAGCTTGGCCAGCTCACCCTCATGACCCCTCCCTGTCGCCAACCCCTCGTCTCCCAAAGGTGACACTATTCTGGGGAAGCCCAAGTGGTTTTAATTATTTTCTTTTAAGTAGACTTTCTTCTTCTTTTTTTAATGTTTACTTATTTATTTTTGAGAGCGAGAAAGAGAGAGACAGACAGACAGGAGCACAAGCACAGAGGAGCAGAGAGAGGGAGGGAGAGAGAGATTCTAAAGCAGACGCTGAACTGTTAGCACAGAGCCTGAGGCAGGGCTCAAACTCACGATCCCGTGAGATCACGACCCAAGCTGATACCTAGAGTTGGATGCTTACTCTCCTGAGCTACCCAGGCGCCCCTAAATAGACATTTATTTGTAGAACAGTTTCGGGTTCAGGACAAAGTTGAGTGGAAGCTACAGAGAGTTCCCAGATACCTCTTGTGCCCACACAGACAACGCCCTGAGTGCCACCCCCCCCCCCGCACTCTCCATGTTCCCCATCAGGGTGGCACGTGTGTTACAATTGACGAACCCACATTGACACATCACAGTATGGACCACAGTCCATAGTTTACGTCTGGGTTCACTCTGGGTGTTGTGTGCTGTAGGTTTTGACTGTGTATAATGACAAGTGTTCTGGAGGTTTTGACAAGCGTCCATCACGCTCGTGTCCTGCAGGGTAGCTGTATCTCCCTGAAATCCTCTGAGATCCCCCCATTCAGCCCTCCCTCCCCCAAACCTCTGATAACCACCGATCTTTTTACCATCTCTGTAGTTGTACTTTTTCCAGAACGTCATGTCGTTGGCATCATACAGCCTGTAGCCTCCTCAGCCTGGCTTCTTTCGCTACTCATGTGCATTTAAGTTCCCTCCGTGTCTGTTTGCAGTTTCCTCGCTCACTTCATTTTAGTGCTGAATCATGGGCGGACACAGGCATAGGTTTTTGAAGAAGGAACTGGACTGAGCATAGAGCAGATGTTACTGCTGAAGTGTCTTCTTTGTATCTCATGCTGTTAGGACTGACACAGTCCTCTCCCCGCTCAAAGTGCAGAAGGGCCCGGAAGGCCTTGAGAGGCCATCCTCTGCCTTGAGCTTCTGCCTCCAGAGCACCATCAGAATACGAATATGGCATGCACGGGGGCTCCGGCCACCACACCCCACTCACATCATGTTTTGATGTAAATGGTCCCACGGAGATCAAGTTCTGTTTACTGGGGACAGACTGCATGACAAATAGAAGAATGGTCCAAACAGCGGAAGTTTCTTTCCCACTCGTGTAACAGTTTGTGGAGAAGCCTCCATGAATCTTCTCCATGAATCTGGGACCCAGGCCCCTTCTGGCCTGTGCCTCCAACACCCCCCGGCCCTGTCATTTCCTTCATCTAGCTAGAGTCACGCATGGCCTGTTGGGACAAACCATTAAGCCGAAGTCTTGCTCCCGGGATTGATGTAACATTTTAGTCAGCTGGTCACCCAGTGTGGTCCTGGGGAATGGCGTGGTGATGGGCAAGAAAGTTTTAATGATGAGTTTCAAGAGACACAAGGGAGGGCGTAGCAGCCTGGGGAACTTCGGGGTGGGTGCTAGCCTGGGGCAGCATGAGGGCGACTCTGAGTTCCCTGGTGTGGCTCATCATGGGGAGCTGAGATCCCACAAAGGGGCTGGAACTTTCCCAAGTCATGGCTTTACCACGGCCCGCCTGTGTCCCGCAGGAAGATGCCAACTTGTGGCCGTGGGACCACCGAGGGGGTCTCTGCCTCTCCTCTCTCCGTGCCTGGAGGGGAGCACAGTGAGAGTGATGACATTGTTCTAACCAGCAGGACCCAGACTCCACCCCCCCCTTCACCCCCTCCCCGTGCCTGATGTCAGTTTTGCGGCTCAAGCTAGGGTCTGCTCAAGCTAGGCCACTTCAAGCTAGTGGCCTTCTTGGCCTATTTATGGCCGCTTTCAAGGGTGGGAAGGAAAAAGGGGATGGCGGTGAGAGGCCTCAGGTCTGGGTTACATGTCGAACAGTCCCCCTCTTCACCTTCCGGTTGGTGAGTGTGACCATCCTGTGGCAGACGTCAGGGTCCCTTTCACTGTGACTTTCAGGGAAGGCCGGGGAGCTGGAGTGGGTGCCCTTTGCAGAGAACTGTGGCCTGAGAGGATTATGAAACTTAAACAGGAATAACTTAAGCACGGGCCATCTGCGTGGGAATTGGGGAGTTCTGAAACTGCCTTCCTCCACACCCCCTCCGCCCCCTCCGAGGCTGAGGCCTGCCAAAGCCGTCTCCCACACACCTCACCAGAAAGTCCCTGGCTTCCCTCCCAGCTGCCTTGCGACTGACCTCATGAGGTGTGAGAAGGAGGAAAGGAATCTACATTTCAGATGAAGCTTCCTTCCTCCTTTCTGAGAAGTGGTCCAGGCCTCCCGCGCCTGCCAGGTCACGCACACAGCTCCTCAGAGCCCGGGGCCCCGTGGCTCGTCCAGTCTGCTTGGAGAAGGAACCAGGGAGGCTGGGACCCGGAGCCTGTATGAGTTTGTTGGGGCTGCTGTAACAAATGACCGGAGGCTGAGGTGGCTGAAAATGGCAGAGATTCATTCCCTCTGGAGGCTGGAAGGCGGAGGTCAAGGTGTCCTGGGGCCATTGGTGCCTCTGAAGGTTCTAAGGCAGAATCTTTTCCTTGCCTCTTCCAGCTTGTGGTGGTTGCAGGCAATCCTTGGGGGTTCCTTGATTTGTGGATGTATCACTCCAGTCTCTACAAGGCTGTCTTCCCTCTGTCTCTTCTTATAAGGACATCAGTCACACCAATTGAGGGCCAGCCTCCTCCAGTATGGCCTTATCTTAACTAATTCCATCTTCGAGGAGGCTGTCTCCAAATAAGTGACATCTGAGGTTCCTGGTGAACATGAATTTGAGGTGGGACATTGTTCAACCTGCAACAGAGCCCCACCATCCCTCCCTTTCCCCTGGCCCCAGAGCAGGCCCTTACCCCACATAGGCTGTCCAGGGCCCAGGAGTGGTTACCCCGAAGTAAAATGGCATCCCCTCGCTCCAGGAAGGCCTGGCCTAGCAAGTGGGAGATCACGGAGCCCGAATCTCTCCAGGGACAGGCAACTACGTGCCCAAGGGACCCCCACTTGGAATTTTTTCCTGTTTTATGGAGATGCTTCAGGATTCCTTGGCCCTTGGCCAATCCCAAAGGGAAAGAGCCCTCCCAGCCTTCCCATGGGCCACTCCAGACCAAAGTTTACAACCCAGATGGGAAAACTGGCACCTGGCTCCATTAGTCTCAGCTACCAGCCTCGTTTGGGGTCTTCTCCACGGCAGCCGCTAGGGAAGCTCCACCCGGTGTCTTCCGGACTGACCAGCCCTTCCCCTGGGGAGCTGAGGTCCTCTTGCTTGGACATCTGTGAAGGAGTGGTGAGTTCCTGGGCCTCTTGTAACCCAGCTGAATATTTTCCAGGTTACCTAACCAAACTCCTGCAGAATCACACCGCCTATGCCTGCGATGGGGACCATTTGAATCTACAGTGCCCTCGGCATTCTACGATAAGTGTCCAGTCGGCCTTCTATGGGCAAGATTACCAAATGTGTAGCACCCAGCAGCCTGCCTCCCAGAGGGAAGACAGCTTAACCTGCGTGGCACCCACAACACTGCAGGTATTATCTTTCGTAGATGTTTTAGGATGATAAAATGGTCCTCTCTCTCTCCTTCTCTCTCTCTCTCTCTCTGTATATATGCTTGTGATTATATAGTTTGCTCAAAGCAAACCTGATCCACGAAAACCCCAACTTATACAAATCACCGGTTTCACAAGTGCGCTATTATTTGCTTCTGGAAAAGGTTCTTCACCAAACAAGACTAAATGGGATTCCTGCCTGCTGGGGAGCTCCCTTAATACGCTTGCCTTACGAATTTATTCAGAGACGTACCTCTCACTGCCGTAAAGCAAAGTACAGTCGTGCTGGCCTTCACCCTCCAGGACCACCTGTCCCGTCGATACCCCAGTAGAGAGGGAACGTGATTCCTTTAGTGGAAACCACGGGGGGCTGTGTGAGGCAGACAGTCGAGATCCTGACCAACTTCTCAGAGAATGCTCTCGAGGAAGGGAAATAGCAATCATGGTCTTTTAAAAAAAAATGGTTTTCTTCTCCAGTTGTAGATAATGACATTATTCTTGTTTCGAGCTTCTTTGGGCGGCCTCTGCTGATTTGCTTTTCTGTCATATAGGACCAGGAATTTGGGGAGGGGGCATCTAAGACTTTCTTTTGGGGGGGAGGGTTGGGATTAGCAAAAGATTTGGTATAGGAAGAGGTCAAGACTAGTATTTCAGTGGTGATTTTAGACTATTCATGGCTCTTCGACTGTTTTTCAGCCGCAGGAAATGGGGGGGAAAGATAAATTTTCTAGGAAGACTAAGGACTGATGGAATTGGTGTTCATGCCGTGTAGCTCTCTCTGAGGTCCAAAGAGGAGAAGCCAAACTCATGTGATAACATAAGGATTTTTCTATTTCTTACACCACTTACTGCTTCCATTCCAAGCGTCTTAGTATCTAGAATGGCCATGTGATGGGTAAAGATACCAGCCGAGTAGCCAAAAGGATGTGTTTGAGTGAAATCCCTGGACGTGGCTTCCACACCCCCCGAGGAGAGGCCACCTGTTGCTTCTGGAGACCAGCAGCTACTTCCTGTGGGTGCCCCACCCAGCCCCCAGTCCTGTCCCTGGGGTGCCACTCCAGGAGCTGTATCCCGGTTGGCCTGCCCCCAGTCCTTACCCCAACTGCCCTGCCCACCCTTCCCGGCCCCCCAGGCCGGCTGCCGCTCTCCTAGGTGCATAAAAAGAACACCGGCCGGTGCCATAGGACGGGTGCCCTGCTTTGTGGAAATATGAACCCCTGGCACCTTGGAGCTGCAAAGAATGGGCACCACCCTCGCTCTCCAATATGGTGCCTGGCTCTGCCAGGCAGGCCTGAGGGAAGCGGGCGTTTCCAGAGCCAGGCAGACAAGTTAGCATTTGTGAACACGACTCCAATTGTTGTTCAGAAGGTTTGTTTGCCAGAAACATCCCCCGTGCACTGCTCTTTCATCCAGAAGGCAAGAGATCCTTTATTTTGTGTCTTTTGGGCCGCGTTTGGGAACTGAGGCAAAGTGCTTCCTCCTCCACAGAGTGAGGTCACCTAAGGCTGGAGAGAACAGGTGTTGATGTCCACCCAGGGGCACCTCAGCTGGTCTGGCCCGTGACTGAATGCCGACAGGAAATCCCCCCGCCCCACGCATCTCTCAGCTGTTAACCCCCTTTGGGAACAGCCCCGCCTCGGGTCCCACTCTGTGGTTGTATCACGTGGAGCCACACAAGGGCTGAGTCATTGCACGGTGACCCTCAGCCATGAGGATGTGTCCCGTCCTCTGCGGGGGGGGGGGGGGGGGGTGTCCCTGGGCGTTTTTCCAGATTTCATACCACCTCTGCCGGGCCCCTGAGGTGACAGGGGATGCCTGGTAAGGCCAGCAGCCTTCATGGAGATATTCCATAATCTACTATGAGAGCGTGGCGATTCGGACAGGCTCGTGAAGCTGAGGTAAATTGAGTCCAACAGTAGTGAGTAGATTCTTGGGAAACGTATAGTGTGCTGGGTATCCTGTTAGCGGACACTAAGTGTAAGACCTGTGTGTTACAGGCAGCGCCTGTTGTGTTTGGAGACAGGAAGCACGGCAGTGAGGCCCCTTTGTGACCCTCCACAGGGCGATTCATGGGCTTTTGCACGGAACAGATTCATTCACAAAGGAGTGTGCACTGTCTGGGAAAAAAATGAGGGAAAGAGAGATTTGAAGGAGAACTTTGGAGCCAAATGAGCAACAGAAGGCCTGAGTTTTCCAAAGAGGAAAATTACCCCCTGGGGAACAAGTAGGCCCTGTGCCCTCCAGGTTGGCAAGGGTGGGAAGAATCAGCTTTCTAATGTTTATTGTTTGGCCTGTTTTGGGTTGGGTCTCCCAAGGCCTCCCCCAAATGCTGAGTTCTCTGTGGTCTGTGCTCGGCCGTTTCTAAGGACGTAGAGCGACGGCCGTGATTCCTGGTCCTCACAGGGCTCTCTCAGCTCTGCAGCCAGGGGGACGCCTTCCGGAAGGGACCTCCGTGTCCCATCTGGCCCACGCTCTGAGGTCCTCGGGTCTCGCTCGTGTTTCCCGAAGCCTCCATGATGCAGCACTTCGGTCAAAACCATCGGCAACACTTCCACTCGAGGAAGACTGGAGGCTGGGCTTCTGGTGGGGGCCTGGCGCCGTAGGGTCGGGTTTCTTGCTCTGGGACAGACAGGGAGACAGGCAGCCGACCTGGTCAATGCACAGGTGTGCGGTCTCAGACACAGCTCATAGCAGCTCGAAGGTTCTTTGTGTGGCCCCCAGGCCAAGCAGACAGGTGTCCTTTCCTTGTCAGAGCCCAGAGCAGCCCGGGTGTGGGGTCTCACAGACACCGTGTGTGGTTTTCAAGCCTATCCCTTTTCTACCCCCCTCATTTTAGAAGGTGCTGGATGAATGCCAGAACCAGCGTGCCTGCCATCTCCTGGTCAATAGCCGTGTTTTTGGACCTGACCTTTGTCCAGGAAGCAGTAAATACCTCCTGGTCTCCTTTAAATGCCAGCCTAGTAAGTAACGTCTGGGGCGGGGGAGGGGGGGGGACAGTGTGTTTGGGGTGTGGATATCCTGTTTTATTCACACCCCTGTTGGAAATTCTCCGCCAGTGGGTGTTTGTCCAACTTGGAAACTTGTTAATAGAGATGTCCTACCTATTCTTTTGTGGTGTGTGTGTGCACGTGTGTGTGCAGCCATATATCCATGTGCATTCTTCAAATCCTTGAATTCAAAACATCCTTCGTAGGGGCGCCTGGGGGGCCCAGTCAGTTAAGCGTCCGACTTCAGCTCAGGTCATGATCTCGTGGTCCATGGGTTTGACCCCCATGTGGGGCTCTGTGCTGACAGCTCGGAGCCTGGAGCCTGCTTCCGATTCTGTGTCTCCCTCTCTCTCTGCCCCTCCCCTGCTTGTGGTCTGTGTGTCTGTCTCTCAAAAATAAATAAACATTAAAAAAAATTGTTTTTAAATCCTTCGTAATATGTAAAACCCAGTTGTACCCATGTTAAAGGTATCAGGGGTGGCAAGAGGCTGAAGTTGCCTTTCCCCAAAATGGGGAACTGGGTTTTCCTTACTCAAAGGAAGCTCACCATCAGTCGCTGGGCTGTTTGTTGTTCTCTCGAGAGGGCCGGGGGGCACATTTGCTGCTGGAGCCCCTGGTTCTAGATCTTTCTGAACTTGCTTCTTCCGCTTTCACCTACAGCAGGGGCTCCGCACACAGTGTCTTTCCCTAAGGGGAAAGAAAGAGGAGGAGATTCTGGCTGGAGCAGCCTTTCTTACTCAGATTCTCGCACTTTTCTCAGTTGACTTGTGCCACCTGTAACGCACATCAGTTTTGTGATTAACCCGTTAAAGACCACAAGTAACTGCCTTTCAGCGAGGAGGTCACACGTGCAGGTGTGGAGAGCCTGCTTGAGAGAACCCATGGGTAACTGCCACATTAGAGGCTCCTGGCAACCCCGAAATAACCTGCTGAAAAGAAAGCAAAGTTATAGCAACAATATTTAACCAAATGATGATAGGAAGGCATGATCACTTTAAAAATTCTGCACTGTCACCCCAACGCGTTGGTTTTATTTTCTGCATTTTGTTCTCTCTTGGTTTCTGCCTCTGGTTCCCAGCATCCCCCCCAAGACAGTGGCAGACTAGGTGCCGGAGGCGGGTGAAGCTTTAGCTCATACGTGTGTAGTAGTTTCAAGTGCACATTTGCAGAGAAAGCACTAGAACCTTCCAGCAAATACCCAGCCTTCTGTCTTAAACCCTTTCCTTGCTGGGGCCCAGATGCCTCAGAACGGCCCCTATGGCTCTTCCCCCCATGCTGTGTGTTCAAACACACATTCACACTCACATGCACACACTCATTTGCACGCATACCCACGATTGCACGCTCACATTGCACATAGTCACTCATACATGCATACAATCCCCCCCCGTACGTGCTATCACACACACATGCACTGTCACACACATACTCACACGTGCACATGATCGCAAACACCCACACACAGTCCCGAACTTTGCAGACCAGCCAAACCCTCCCCAGGAATCCTCGTCACCTCCTGTCTCACTCGGGAAGATCCCGTCTACATCTCTGTGTTCTTAGTAGTGTCCTTCCCATGGCTAAATCTCAAAAAATGCTGTCCTCCTTCCATGGTGGAAATGACAACCCTTTTTTTTTTTTTTAAGTTTATATATTTTGAGAGAGAGAGAGAGAGCTTGAGTAGGGGAGGGGCGGAGAGAGAGGGAGACAGAGAATCCCAAGCAGGCTCTGAGCTGCCAGCATAAAGCCTGATGTAGGGCTCGATCTCACGACCCTGGGATCGTGACCTGAGCCGAAATCAAGAGTCAGACACTCAACTGACGGAGCCACCCAGGCACCCCAAAGGCAACTCATTTTAAAGCGTGTTCAAAATGTTAACGGCTGAAGGATCTGCGCAGTGAGAATATGCCTGTCTCCTGTGATATTCTTGGAAATTTTTCATAATGCGAAGTTGCAAAAGACCAACCCGTAAAAGACATAAAAAGGCTCCTGTGGAAGTGGCCGAACCTCGACTACATCATGCCAGGCCACAGCCTTATTACTGTGGCCAGTGATAAGGTCTGATTGCTCATGTCATTTCAGCAAAACACTGCTGAAGCACCTACCGTGCACAGGTGTGGGGCCAGGTGTTGGCATATGAAGGCAACTCCTGTTTTGCAGAACTTTCTTGGATGGCGGCTCCAGCTTGGAGAGCTTCCACGTTCTTTCATCCAGCAAGCATTCACCTCGCATAGCTGCTTCCTTCTTGCCTTTTAGGTTCTAGCAAATATCAGCTTTCTCCAGAAAGATCGTATCTGTCCAGAATACATCTCAGGAGAACCCTACTCTCTTGGTACTGTGCCAGGAGCTCAGGGGGAATTGAGCCCGGCAGGGGTGCAAGGAAGGCTTTCCTGGCTAGTGATGGGGCTGGGGACTGCAGACTAGGGGTCGGGCACAGAAGGAGCACTTCATATGGAAGGCTGTGGCCGGAGGGAGCAGGGGGCTCTGGGGAGCCAGCAGGAGCACCGGATGGGGAGTTGGAGCAGGATCCCCGGGACCTGATGGGCAAGGAAGGGGGTGGACTCTTTCTGTGAGGGGCATTAAGCAGGGAGGACGCGTGGCTGGGGTTTTCACGTCCCTTCTGGTTGCCTCATGTATAACAGATGTGGGGCACAGCCCTGTATCTTAGGCTGTTTGAGCTGCTCTAACAAAATGCCATCAACTGGGTGGCTTATAGTCAACAGGGGTTTATTTCTTGTAGTTCTGGAGGCTGGGAAGACCGAGATCAAGGGGATGGCAGCTTTGGCACCTGCCGAGGGCCCGCTGCTTCACAAATGGCTGTCTCTTTGCTGTAACCACACTTGGCAGAAGGGGCAAGGAATCTCTCTAGGGTATCTTTCCTTCAGGGCCCTAATCCCATGCATGGGGACTCCATCCTCATGATCTAAGCCCTTCCCAAAGACCCACCCCCTAGTACCATCAAGTTGGGCATCAGAATTTCAACTCGAATTTAACAGGAACATGATCCTTCAGACCAGAGCACCTTGGGCAATGTAGACATTGGTGACCTGAGGCCCTGCAGGCTGGGAGGCGGTCCCTGTCACCACTGTGAGAGGAAGGCAGAAGAGAGGTCGTTCCTACCCCCTCCAGCCTCTGTTTCTGCAGCCCTTTCACCCCGGCGGCTCTTCTCTGTTTCTGATGCCAGCCCGAGCGTGACACTGACACTGATCCTCAGAAGGCACCCCCACTGCTGCAGCCAGGGGCCCGGGGAGCCAGCCCTCATCGTGAGAGCCGACTGTGGGCATTTCTTCCCATCTCTGCCTGAGTGCAGTGAAATCTGCCACAACGGGAGTATTTACACCAGGGAGATGGGCAAATGCTATAAATCAGGGCTTGCCTGTGGATGGTGGAAGAGCTATTTTACCAGCAAACCTCAGTAGAAAGAGCCTTCTTTTCTCAAGGAGGCACCCCGCTTCACCTCCTTAAATCTCATCCTTGCAGAGAATCTTGGTTTCCGTGAGGCTTTGGATTTTGGCAGTTCTGGGTTCATAACCCTGTTTGCTGTGTGGCTGCTGCGTGACCTTGGATAGCATAGGGAAACTCCCAGGGTCGGCTCCGTGACCCAACGGTAGAGTGAAGACAGTGCGCCTTCCACACTGTGGCAGAGTGTGTAAAAGTACGGTGTTGTGCACTTGTGCTCAGTAATTGGTAGCTGTTATTCCAGGAGGCAGATTAAGGTCATTCTTGCTGAAGATGTGACTGACCGAAAGGCAGTGATACCCAGATGTTGGGGGGCTGAGGGGAGTCTGCCCTGGGTGCAGGCATGAGCAGGGTATACCGTAGAGAATTTTAAAAACACGGTAAAAGTGAATAAGTATCTGTCTGCATGTCAATATCGCCCCGCATGGCCTTGTAACTAACATCAGTAGTAACACATTCTCATCCTGGCAGATCACCCTCTCTGCCCTTCTGTGGAAGGCTACTGCTGATATGCACATGTGTATCTGTGTTATTAAAGAGGACTCACAGAGGGGCACCTGGGTGGCTCAGTCGGTTAAGCGTCCGACTTTAGCTCAGGTCATGATCTCATGGCTCGTGAGTTCAAGCCCTGCGTCTCGGGCTCTGTACTGACAGCTCACAGCCTGGAGCCTGCTTCAAATTCTGTGTCTCCCTCTCTTTGTGCCCTTCCCCTGCTTGCAGTCTCTCTCTCTCTCTCTCTCAAAAATAAATAAACATTATTTTTTTTTAAAGAGGACAAACAGAGCCCCCTAGTTTGCAGAATCAGGAAGGGGACTTTGTTACTGTTGTCCTGGTTTTCCCACTTCCCCGGGCTCCTGTCACCCTCCCTGTCCAAACCCACTGGGAAGGCTGTGTATGCCTTTTCTAATCTGAGACCACTGAGCAGTCTCACCCAGCTCTGAAACAAATTCTCTCTCTCTAAGAAAAGTAGCGATTTTGTTAGTGGCCCCACTGTGTTTAGGGCCCAGAAATGTCACTCTTAGGCGACAGCGAATTAGTACATTCTTAAGGAACCAAGTGACACATCATCAAACAGCAGTAACCCCATGTATGTAAGGTGACACTCACAGGCCTCTCCGTTCCAAGAGATGGTTTGCCCATAATCTGAGGACAGGATCACTGGAGGCCTTACATGGAGGTGTTGTTTTATTCTGCGTGAGTTTGGCCAGCATCAAGGCCTCCTTTAATGAATGGGCCTTAATACATCAGAAAGATGATGGCTAATAAATGCACTTCTTGGGGCGCCTGGGTGGCGCAGTCGGTTAAGCGTCCGACTTCAGCCAGGTCGCGATTTCGCGGTCCGTGAGTTCGAGCCCCGCGTCAGGCTCTGGGCTGATGGCTCGGAGCCTGGAGCCTGTTTCCGATTCTGTGTCTCCCTCTCTCTCTGCCCCTCCCCCGTTCATGCTCTGTCTCTCTCTGTCCCAAAAATAAATAAACATTGAAAAAAAAAATTAAAAAAAAAAAAAATAAATGCACTT